TAAAGCTATGTTCAATAAATGTGGGAAGTAGACAAGATACACAGGAAGGGTATACGAAACCCTTTATTTTTCACTCTTTACAATAATTTCCGTACTTCGGAATACAGAGACCAACTACTTGTGGTCTGAACGTAAGAATATAAAAATATTAACTAATCTCTAACTTAAATTTGGAATAATAAACAAGGGCCTACGTGGAAGATTGGCCGTATATTAACAGGAAGCCGTATGTAGTACAGAGAACTGTTAACACTACAATACGTTTAAAATTATTAAGAGGATTAAACCTCTGGCCTGGAAGGCAACCAGCAACCGAGTAAAACTGCTAAGGCAAGCGGCCTGCTTCGACTAACTCCTTCCTCTCTCTCGCTTGGCAAAAAGCCACAACTTAAGTACTTGGCGTTCGCCAGACAAATTTGCATAAATAAGTTAAAGCTTTTAATTCTGGCCGGAAGTAGAAAATAAGAAGTGATAGTAAAGATTTAAAATAAAATAAACGTTAGTAAAACTTAAGATCCTTACAACCCCTGCAGCTAATTCGAATCGAATCGAACTACCATGTTCAGCTGTCTTTAAATACTCGCCCGTTGATGAACCAATGCTTAGTAAAAGCTAATATTTAAATTAAGAATTTAAAATTTTCATTTTCTGCATTATAAAAAATCACTTAACACTGCTGAAACACATTTGCTCGTTTTGAAAGCTAAATAATTATTTAAAATTAAATCAAATAATCAGCTTTATATTTCGGATTAACAGTTACTTAATATATACTTTATTACTGAACAGCAAAATACAGTGAATCCTTGCATTTTCTTTCCGCAGACAACACCTCTGAAAATAATGAATTCTTCTGAGAAATAAATAAGCATCGGTACCGGGGGCGTAGCTAGAGGGGGGCAAGGGGGCATCTGTCTCCGGGCGCAGAATCCAAGAGGCGCCAAACTGATGTTACGACATTTTAGAATTAAATGTTTTCCATCCTTGGCAAGCAGTAGGGGGCGCGAAATCTTCAGTTGTGCTTGGGCCCTGAAAACCCTAGCTACGACTCTGATCGGTACTGATAATTATTAATAGCATCCTATAAGTTGACCGCATTCTAACCCAACAGAGATCATCCAGTACGCACCGAAAACAATTAAATTAAAGTTTCTTATATGCTTCATATGCCAAACGAGTTATTACGCTTCTGGTTCCATTATTAAAATTATTTTTAAGAGGAAAAAAGCTAATTATTACCTCAGTGTGATTCGTATGGTAAAGCACATCGCACGACACGAGTGCTGTTTGTTTGTTATGTAGTCTACCACATAAACTTTCTTCGAACTTTTTACATTAACAGGTACTTTGAATGATCTATCACATTTCCATATTATTATCAAAAAAGTGGTGATTTCCCAGAAAAGCTATTAGTTTCAAAACGGCATTTGGCGTTGTTTCACTATAAACGTCCGTTTCACTTTTCGGATTATTGCCACCAAATATTATCGCGCTGTATGATATTTAAAGGAATTAAATAATGATGAATCTGCATGAATGTATGTAGATTTCTCGCATTCTGAAAAAACGACGGTAGAGCTAGCAAATTTTGAATAACTTAATCCTCCATCCGAACATGAGCACCTCAACTTAAGAATTTCGCATTTGTTTTATCATTTATTTAATATTTTTTTCACCTTTAATGAATTTAACAAAGTCAGCGATTTCAAAGCTAGCAATGGCAACACCGTACGGAAAATAACATTTTTATCTCCAACGCACGAGACTGTCTATCGGAAATTGTAAAGACATGCTGTTTTGAAATACTTTGTGATATTGCTATTGAATTTAATTTTATGCGGTTTAAGTGCGAAGAACATGATATTTAATAAATAAAGGTAACACACAAAACGTTAAAAAAACTCCCTTTAACGTAACATAAAACCTCAAAGCTCAGAGATTTTATTATCCCAGAAGGGCTATTAATTTCGTTTTGGCATTTTGCATTGGTTCACTTTAAATGTCGGTTCACTTTTCAAATTGTTGCCATCAAATATTAGAGCCCTGTCTTACATTTAAAGAAATTAAATATTGAAGAATCTGCATAAAAGTATGAATGTTTCTCGAATTGTGATAAAACAATGGTACCCAGAGCCTTCCAATTTTGAATAACGTACGTCTAGTCCCGAATATGGGCATCTGGAAGGCCGAATTTTTAATTTTAAATTTGTTTTATTATCGATTTCATATTTTGTAACACTTTAACGATTTTTTTATTAACAAACTCAACGATTTCAAAGCGAGCAATGAGAAAGCTGTACAGGAAAAAAGAGAAAAAAAAAAGGGGGGGGAGAGGGGGGAAACATTTTTTCTCCAGCGCGCGAGACTGTGTATCATAAATTCTAAAGATATGCTCATTGAACTGAATTTTATGGTTTAAGTGCGAAGAACGTGATATTTAAATAAATAAAGGTAAACTTTGTTTTGCAAGGTGGACCGGGTTACGCCCTAACAAAACAAAAATAAAGGTAACACAAAAACGTTGAAAAAGAAACACCTTTGGGCGTAATGTAAAATCTAAAAGCTTTCAGATTTTGTTAATAATTATTTATATTCATATTTTCATTTCCAGTTCTGAGCAGCTAATACTGATAAAATAAGGCTGAAGTGACGCCAAAAGCAGCTCATTTTTATTTTTGATGATATTGCAATCATTCGCATTATTTTGAAAGTGACACTCCAATGTATTCATCTGTGCACTTTTCTTTACGTCGCAAATCTTAAATAATTAATCTTGGAGGAATAGAATAAAACATTTGCAAATCGAAAAAAGAACGTTTTTAATTTTGGGAAAAAAAAAATCATGTCCAAAAGTTGCAGAATGTATTACCGGGGCCCGTCTGAAAAGGTTGGCAGACTTAATGGGGCAGTAATTTATTAACCGGTGAATGTTGTGAAAATACCAAGCAAAACTTACACGCTAAGTTTTATTAACACTCTAAGATGACAATCCCAACACACACAAAAACAAAACTTTGGGGCAGTCGCTCTGCGAAATTTTCATTGTAAGTCGATCTAGAATTTTTACATTTCTATTTTTTGCTTGCTATGTTAGAAGCCATTGAAGTCGTGCAAAGACGTCCAGTTTTTTCTAAACGATTGTAATTATACTCTAATTCAGCGGTCCGCAACCTTTTGACTAACGCGTACCATCTAAACAAAAATTGAAAACCTTTAGTACCACCACTACAAAGTACTACCACCACCACCACTCTTGAACAAAGCTCAGATTGAACAAATTTACGAATGTTAGAGAAAAAAATTCAATCAGGATGTTGGGGTTTTAATTTTTGAATTTAATATTTAAAAATACTTTGTTTCTTTGCGTATCACTTATTTTTCTCTTGCGTACCACCAATGGTACGAGTGCCACCGGTTGAGAACCTCTGCTCTAATTTATAATTATTTGACAAATTTTATATCTGGTAGTTAATTCATTGTCACGGGCCATGCAAATCTCCGGTTTTAAATCTATGGTGCACTAAACATTAATGTGTAATTAAAAATGTACATTCATCAAATGAGAGAAAGAACATTAATGTTCATTTCCGAGAATTAAAGTAAAATACGTAAGATAATTTCAAGCTGAATCCGAAATAATTTTTATAAGGGCTGTATACATACATGGTTACTGCAGTGAGAACAGTGAGTAACTATAATTACGACAATGCATAACGAACTGCCATTGAAGCCTTTTAGGATATAAAAAGTGTTACTTCAAGCATATTTTTAAAACATAAGATTGACTGTTCTTTTTTGTATTTTGTAGTTACAATTTTTGGAAACTGAGTTTAGTTTTCCTCGTCTAGAAGAATTTGAGGCACTGAAATTATGGAACCGTTTGCGTTATCAGATTTATTGGAATAATGCTTAAGTAAATTAACGGCATTCGTAACTATATTCTTAGCGGAACTTAAAAAAGGCCGAGAGTTTTCTAGTACCTTCCACTTCTCGAAATTAGTGGAAGATATATGAGAGGCCGAATACGAGCTACATACAGCATCAATCACAGTTATTCAATTACAGTACAGCGGCCCCACCAAAATATTTACAGCGACGGAACCAAATTGTCGTCAAATGGTCGCCACGTTTAACGACTATGAGATTTCTCGACCAATCTGGTGACAAAAATTAGTTGTTAATACCATCGCCAGCTTGGTGATATCTCGCCAATTTAGCGAGAGAGCCATTTACTCAAAGCTAAATAGACTTGCCCATCTTTTCTTATTTCTCCGGAAAAGCTTCGCTTCTTTAGATCTTCATGTACAGTAGACGTTCGTTTTTACGAACCTCTCTTTTACGAACTCTCTCGATTTGACGAACTAGCGAATGGTCCCGAATACACTCCCATAGATGTAATGTAATTTTGCGCTCTTATTTACGAACTACAAATCAGGAAAATCTCTTTTTTGCGAACTCAGTTTTCATACTTCTGCGTGTTTCATGGGACGAAGTGTGAAGGTCAAATAAAATCTCCAACTATTTTGAGACAGCAAGTGCGAAACATTCGAAGAAGTACAGTAAGGAAGGAGGGGGCGGAGAAGAGGGGGAATTAGGACAAATTTATGGTGTTGTTTGTTGTGGGAGGCTCTCAGAAGAGCATCGGCCTGATGTTGTTGGGTGGGGGTGAGACCATTCGTGTTAAAGGGGTTTGAGTTGCTTCTAAAAGAGAGTTGTTGCTTTTTGTAATGTCATAGTCATTTGATCTGGACAACTCAATCAGTGAAGTCTCGTTAGTCGAGAGGGAGATTGGGCCAGTTTTTGTTAAGTAAGATTCTTAGAGCTATGTCGCAAATGAAGAAACGAATTTGTTTAGCGGTTGAAATAAAGAAGAAGATTTTAAAAGAAGTTGACGAAAAAATATTAAGCAAGACACAAATTGCTCAGAAATATGGAATTCCTAAAAATAGTTTATCGACGATTTTAAAGGCAAGAGAAGAAGAGAGAAGATCTTTGGAGCTAAAAACGGAAACGATGAATGTGGACCCTCCTCTCGAAAATATTTTCGAGAATCAAAACACCCAAATTTGGAAAGGGCTTTGCTTGTTTGGTTTCGAAAGATGAGAAGCTTAAACATTCCAATTGATGGAAATGTACTTAAAGAACAAGCACACTTTTTTGCTTCCAAATTAAACATCAAAGATTTTAAAGCATCGGATGGTTGGTTACAGAAATTTAAATTTCGGAATGGTTTGAGTTTCCGGAAAGGTGTGGTGAAAGTGTGAGTGCAGTGCAGCAGTAGACACGTCATCAGCAAATGAATGGAAAGAAGAAAAGTTGAAATTGCTTCTTTCTGAATACGCTGCAGATGACGTTTTTTTAATGCGGCGGACGAAACGGCTTTGTTTTTTTAAGATTTTGCCAGAAAGAACATTAGCTTACAAAGGAGATAAATGTGTTGGAGGTAATAAAGCTAAAGAGAGACTTACAGTTTTGATTGCAGCCAACATGACTGGGTCACAAAAATTGCCTCTGCTCTTTATTGGAAAATATCTGAAACCAAGGTGTTTCAAAAATGTTCAGAAGATTCCTGCTGCATATTATGCTAATAATAAGGCCTGGATGACTGGCAACATCTACGAAAAATGGTTGAGAGATTTAGATAACCGTTTTTCAGCAGAGAAGCGCAAAGTTCTCCTAATCGTGGACAATTGTACTGCACACATGGAAGTCACTGGGCTTCAGGCAATCCGTGTGGAATATCTCCCACCAAATGCAACTGCAGTTTTACAGCCAATGGATCAGGGGATAATCAATAGTTTCAAGCGAAAATATAAGACAGTGCTCTTGCAAAGAGTAATCCTTGGCTTGGAAAGGGAACAACCTTATCAGATTGATATTCTTGGTGCAATGCATTTATCAATCAGTGCATGGAATGATGTTTTAGATGAAACAATTTCTAAAGCCTTTCGACATGCAGGTTTTATTAAAGAAACAGACGTAACTGAAGAAATCCATGACAATAGATCTCACGACGAAGATGAGGTTCTCATGCATGAACTTCGCCGTAGAAATCCACAGTTGCCAGAACTTTCATTCGAGGATTTTTTAAATGTGGATTCTAATGTCATCTGCACGGAGGAAATATCGGATCACGATATTATTAGCAGCATAATCAACGAGAATGAGAGACTTTCAGATCCAGAAGAAGAAGAAGAAAATGAAGTAACACCAAGACCGACTTTAAAACAAGCTGCTGAATACTTGTCAGAACTTAGACGATTTTTTGAGGCCAGTGATAATTGTGAAATGCTAACAAATATAGAGAAGATGGAGTCTTGCATTGTACAATCTGTTGTTTTAAAACAGACAAAGATAAGTGATTATTTTGTTGCTCAATGACTTAATAAAGGTACGTTTTACAAATATTTTATATTTCTTGTTTGTTTAATAGAATGGATATCATTTATTAAGTAGTAATACTATTAAAAATAATTCCTAATACATAAATAAAAGCATGGAATAGTATCACTAACCTGTCTCGAAAACATTAAAATGTGAAATACTAACAATTTCCGATGCCTTTCTAAATTACGAACTCTCGATTTAACGAACTGTTTTCGTAGTCTCTACGAGTTCGTAAAAACGAGCGTCTACTGTATTATACAAAAAAAAAAAAAATATCATATTATTATACAATTCAAAAAATTATCATATTATTACACAAAAAAAAAATTCATATGTAATTTCATTAAAATTATTGTTACGAAATGTCCAGCTGCGGTAAGATAGCTTTCCCGCTAGGCGGGTTTAGGGTTGCCAGAAAAGGACAAGGAAGGCAAGGTTTTCAGATTTGGCGCGAAATCGCCCATTTGGCGACAAAATGAGCTATATGCCATAGAACAGAACAGAAGCGTCCAGAATGAATTTTTACCGGTTTGGCCCAAAATGTTCTCGAAGGCAGGCCAAAAGCTATATAAACCCTACTTGTACGCGGAATAGCAGTCTATCGAGTTGCGCAGTGGCTAATCGCACCGACGGTCTGAATAGCCTCTAAGCTAATCGCACCACCTACGCTAGCGCATGAGTACAATCAGCCCAGGTACAGCCATTTTACGCCGATTTGACCATAAGGCAGACGGTAGTGCGAGCGAGTGTTGTTAACTTTAACTCAGCGAGGGTTGTTAACAGTTTCTGCTTATCTTCCTTGTATGCGATTTTCTTTGTTAATTAATTTTTAGTTATTGTTACTGAAATTTACGTGTTATTTGTTTGACATAACTTGAGGCCGATGGATGTGACAAAAACAAATTTCTTGCTGAGTGTAGAAACAAGTTTTCCATATATTTTGAATTTGAAAGTGCAAAAGATCTGTATGAAAATCAAAATTTTGCTGTTTTGATTAAAATGAGAACAGAAAAATTTCACCAAGGTAATATACATCGTGAAATGTTACTGTACAAATATGTTCTTTGAATGTAAAAAAAGGACATAATCAGAAACAGTTATATTCATAAAGGGTTAATTTTTTTTATTTAACAGAAATTTTTAGGCAAACTTTGGTCCTAGTCTTATAGCACAGAACTGTCAGAATTTATTATTCAATAAGAAAACTTATTGAAAATTCGCATATATGCATCACTTTTTAAGTGTCCACATATGTTTATAGCCTCAAATGCCATATTTCAAAATAAAAAAAAAAAAGTTATTTATGAAATAAAATCTGATAATTCATTTGCTTGTGCATTACATCAAGTTATTTTTGTTTTCTAAATTACATCCCACTATTTATTTAAATTTAATTAATTAATGTGTTTGTACTAATATTTGAAAGTTCTTTGAAATATTTTTTTCTCTGAAAATGAAGAGTATTTCCATAAATAATTAAACAGGCATACAAAATTGTTAATAACCAGTATTATATGATTAATTGTTAATTTAATAGTTTTTTTCATCCCTTTTAAGTTATTTCATGTCTAAATTTTCTACACAGACATACTCTGTCTAATTTTTATTACCTTTTCTCATACGAAAAATTTCAAAGAAAAATGAACAAAAATCTTGATTTTACAAAATACATATTTGAATTTAAATGTATTCTAAGAAGTTCAAAAAATGTAAACAAGGTTTTAGTCCCCCCCCCCCAACGTCAACATAGGAACCTGCCTTTAAAAAAAAAAAAAAAAAAAAAAGATTCACTAGAACAGACTTTGGCAGCTCTACTTAAGATTCCTTCTTTTCGATTTGGTTCAAATGACGGATCCGACAACTCAAAGCGCAGGCGTGGTTAATGTTGGTGCGAATAGCATCGACCATCGAGTTGATAGTCAGTATAGTGTCGAGCTGGACGTCGACTGTATTGCTAGATGGTGCATCGGTTAACGAATGTATCGTAGAAGGCATCGCGAGTTGTAAAGTGGAGAGTTTCGAGAGTACTTTGGATTCCGAGAACGACTGAACCGAGTCTGGAGCTGTACTCTAGTGCTTTACCGTGAAGCTGTCTTCACCGTTATAGCCTAATAGCCTGAAGGCTGTGATCCTGATTGTTTCAGTGTGTTTATAGTAATTTTTCGACGACTGTAACGTGTTTTTGGAGTTGTCCTGAGTAATACTGGCTAATAAATTGTGTTTTCATTTTTCATCAAGTATTGTCATCAACTGCTCCAAATCCATGAACCCGTAAGAAACGCAACATTATTTACATGTATACAGAATGCGTAACAATACTAAAAATAGGATCCCTCCCGACTGGTCACTGAGTGAGTGGCGTATGCGTTGTTACTTCATTCTTCTTTTCATTTTATGACTTTTTTTTTTTTTTTAAATTTTCCCTTAACAGTATTCATACTTCATTTCACAATTTATAAAATACAACAACTAGCAATTAATAGAACTTCAGACTTTTGTGCTTTCTATTGTAGCCAGTATTAAGTAAGATTGACCGCAAATGTAGAAGTCTTTTAACAGATTTTATGGACATATTAGAGTGTATGGTGTATCTACGAACAAATATGTTTATAAATAGAATATTTATACAAGTTATAAGCTGAATTCTGAGGGGTTACAACTCCATATCATTATTATGTGAATATATAAATATTTATTTACGATCTTCCATGCATAAAGATATAGCATAACACTAGAAAGGAAGATTGCATATTTATTGGACAATGACAAGCTAATGAAAAAGTTTTCTGCTGAAAAAGAAGGACATATGAAGATTTAAGAGACATAGAAAAATTTTAGCTGAAGAGAAAGAAATCAGGAAAGAGAAAAAGAAATATTATTAATTTTATGCAACAAAATTATGAGGATAAATGACAAACTGTGTGAAAAATGAAAAAGAAAAAAAACAAAAAAAAAAAAAAAAAAAAAAAAAAAAAAAAATCAGACTAAGTGCTTACGTAAATGTGTACAAAATAATGAAACAGAATTAGAAGAAGTGTGACTGTAAACTTATTTTATACATTCTGAAATTTTTCCATGTAGAAATTGTTAAATGTGCTACGATTTTGAATTTAGCGAAAATATTGTTGCGTGCGCACGCGGTCGTAATAGATTGAATGCGCAAGTCCGATAAAAGGTTAATAAAACTTATTCTTATCAAAAGAAATATATCAGAACTCTGCAATTTTCCTCAGAGATATTCTTACAAATGTTCACAACATCATGTAATATAATCCGTAGTTATATTTCAAATTACTAAAAACGTAAAATATAAAGCAACACAAAGCGCATCTAAAGAGAAAGCTAACTCGGATTTCTCAATTCACTCGGAAATAACAACTCACAACAACAGTAACTAAGCAACTGAACTGAGATTGGAACTATGGGATTATACTGGTTTTGAGCAGGCGATGCGTTAGCCTGCTCTTGCCAGTTCCTTGATGTATCCCATGTTGGGCCTGCCGGTTGAGATTCTCTAGAGTGATCATCTCTCGTTCAGGTACAGCTGAAAAGAACTGAAATGCTCTCTCTCTGGCTTTTTATCGTTTTCAACCGGTCGCGAGATATTTCTAGTAGTTTCTGCTTCTCGAAATCACTGGAAAGCAGTAAGGGGATGGAATTACGGTTACAGCTAGCATAATGGTCAATTACATTTATTCAATTTCAATAGAAATTATCGAGATACCCCTTTACTAAATGTTAAATACACGTGCCCCTGCATTTTTAACTTTCCGGCATAGCTTTCTCTTAAAATTTGTCTCGAGCTGCATTGTACAGGAAAATACAACAATTTTAAGTATAACTCTACTAAAATTACGTATCTAAACACAAATTTCTTAACAATATGTTAGAGTTTGCCCTTTGTTTTGCTGAAAATAATATGCTTTTTTTTATAATATATTCGTGCTGCATTACATTTTTTTCAGTGCATTTGTGTTCTGTTTGATTATTGAAAACTTCATTACTTTTAAAGCGATTAATATGAAAAAATCTGAAGGGTTTCAGATTTTAACGGTCGCCCAAAAAGGTTTGTTAATGTTTTTCTGCTCTGTCTGCTTAGTCTGGTGCTGAACTCACTCTTGCTGACCCACTTGTTTTGTCTTTTTAGCTTCGTTATTAAGCATCATTTTCTTCACACTTACGATATATACAATTCAACGGCAAAATTACAAAATGTTTATTTAATTTAACAAAATTAACAAATTATATAACAATCTCACTGACAAAAAAAACGTAAGGCTTTAGCGTAACTGTAAAGACATAGCTTTGTAATGAGGCAAAAATTCAAAGTTCCGCAGTTTAAGCCGTATTCTTAGAGCAATTCATTATAGTAAAAAAAAAAAAAAAAAAAAAAAAAAAAAAAAGCATTTTTCAACTATAACATTACATTACACAAAATTAAGTAAAGATTGAAAATGAGTTTTCAAAAATATGACATAAAACTTTAAAAAAAAAAAAAAAAAAAAAAAAAAAAAAAAAAAAAAAAACTGAAAGTTTGCAAATTTTATATTACGCTCGGAGAGACACTTTTTTTCATTTACACACGCATACACGATTCGAGAGCATTTGGTCTAAAAAGATATAAAAACAGAATATCTTTAGAATTTCCGATAAACAGTGCCGCGCGCTGGAGATAAAAATGTTTTATTTTGTACATTGTTGCCACAGCTGGCTTTGAAATAGTTGAGATTTTTAATAAAAAATTCCTTAAAGTTTTACAAAATATAAAACAAATAATAAAACCAATATAAAATTCAAAATTCGGGCTTCCACTTGCCCATATTCTGGATGAGGACTAAGTTATTCAAACTTTGATGGCTCTAGCTACAGTTGTTTTTTCACAGTGCGAGAAACATACATACATTCATGCACAGTCTTCATTATTTAACTTCTTTTAATGTAATACAGGGAGATAATATTTGGTGGCAACAATTTGAAAAGGGATTCAACTTTTTTAGTGATTCGACGCAAAATGCCATTTCGAGAAAAAGTAACCCTTCTGTGTTGATAGCCCTATAAAAAAAAAAAAAATCACAAAATTTATACACGTAGGTTCGTAAATGAATGCAGTAGCGCACAGCATCTAAGTAATCCTAATAAAATTTTTGTAAACGTCAAAACTCATGAACGTAGTAGCGCACAACATCTAAGTAATTCTAATAAAATATTT